AGCTACTTTAGATGAAAGGTTGTCAGGAAGATCGTTTATGTAGATAAGAAACAAAACAGGGCCCAGGATGGAACCTTGGGAAACCCCAGAAGTTACTGGAAATAAAGAAGAGTGTTGGCCTTCAAGGATGACTTTAATAAACCGGTTAGAAAGAAATGATTTAATAATCTCAAAAACTTTCCCAGAAACACCATATGAAGCAAGCTTATGGAGAAGACCAGCATGCCAAACTTTGTCGAAAGCTTTAGATATGTCGAGAGCAATAGCCCTAGCCTCACTGCCTCCATCTAATGCACAATAAAATCTTTCAGTTACAGCTGTTAGCAAGTCGGCCGTAGAGCAAGAGGATCGAAAACCGTATTGATTGTCTGACAGTAGTTTATTTGACTCAAGATGAGATGTGAGGAATTTGTTGATCAAAGACTCAAAGACCTTGCTAATAACAGAAAGAAGACTGATCGGACGATAATTGAAGGGGTCAGAATTTTCTCCAGAGTTTTTGAATATTGGAGCCACAGATGCCATTTTCCAACAAGCAGGAAAACAAGACTCAGTCAAACACTTGTTAAATAGTTTAGAGAGAATTGAAGAAAGTTCTGGAGAACAATTCTGCAAGACTGTGACAGGAATGTTGTCTGGACCACAAGCTGTAGACGAGTTTAATTGAGATATGACTTTAGCAACAGAAGCTGGAGTGATTTGAATGTCTAACAATGGGTCAACCTGTTTGACTGGAATGGAAGGAAGAGAATGTCCATAAGATTCAAGAGTGGAATTAGAAGAAAAGTTCTTTGCAAATAGGGACTATTCATGGGACTGATCTTATTACCTCTCCCAAGGATAAGGCAGAAGCCTTATCCTTGGGAGAGGTAATAAGATCAGTCCCATGAATGAGAGGTGGAATGTTAGATCAACCTTTATTAATAATGCTGTTGAAGATTTTCCAAAAGTTTTTAGAGCCTAACTTCTGCGATGAGATGCGAGATTTAGTGAACTGAGAATAATGGAGTTTAGCATCAGAAAGCACCTTTTTACAACGATTTCTTGCAATAATAAATAGCCGTTTGTTCTCAAGAGAGTTGTTCTTTTGAAAAAGATAAAAAAAATGATTACGATTGGATATAGCAGCTGCACAAGAAGGAGAAAACCATGGAGTAGAATGAGGCTTGGCAGAACCACCTAAGGGAGAAAAGGGAGAGACTGAACATAAGCTAGGGTCAGAGACAAGACATAAGTCAAGGAGTGAAGGTAAATGATTAGGGTTGTCAGGAAAACGAGTCACAAAGTTAACTATCTAAGTAAGAGATTGAGAAACGCAGAAGTTAAAGGCTTTAGTGCCAGCAGGATCAGTGGTGTTAGAGCCAAGCCATTCAGTGTGATATGCATTAAAATCACCAACAACAACAATATTGGCAGAGGGGTAAAGAGAGAGGGCATGGTCAATTTGATCAGAGATAACATCTAAGAGAGTACAATCATGGGAAGAAGGAGAACGATAAAGAACAAAGAGGTGTGAAGAGGTGCTAGGCGAAAACACATAAAAGAATGGTCAAAGGATTCGAACCTAATTTCACGACAAATAGGGGAATTAATGCGTATGTATACCCCAAACCTAGCATGTGACTATTGGATTCTTTACGAATCAAAGGATAGTACCCATCAACACTGACATCTGAAGAAGGAATTGCAGAATTCAAATTTGTTTCACTAAGTGCAAGCAAGTCTGGCAAATTTTGCAGGAGGTAAGACTCAACTGATGATAAGTTGCTTCATAGACCGCGAATATTTGTAAAAGATATATTAAAATATTTAGGTGGTGGGGATGGTTTTTTAGGTTTTAAATTTTTGGTTACTTTGGTCATGATTTGGGTTTAATGAGAACTTGACTCATTCATAGATAGAGCACAACCTCCTAATCAATGAGCTATGCAATTGTCTCAGTCCTGTTAATTAACCCTAAGCCATGACATAGGGCTTCTTATGTGCCTTGACAATGCACACCAAAAGCATTAACAGGGACACCATCCACGCGCAACATGGCACTGTTAATACTCTGATATTTTGCAGCTGTTGATGGAATCAGCCTCTCTGAGAGCTACCACAGAGTTCGGGAAACCTTACTACCAGCCGGCCTCAGAACCATTAAACTGAGTTTTAGAGCTGTACCCTCATATGGAGATAACAGGAAGAGTTGCATAGCCATTATCAAGGAGGCATAAGCAAAATTATATGGGTAGAGTCAAGGAGATCCAGCATTCATCATCCTAGGCAGGAAACAATGTAACACAGGTTACATCTACGCCAGCCTAATAGATGAAGAAGGGGTTCGAGGCTGGTTAGCAGAATTTTTCTGCTTTTCCCTAAAGTCTTTGCCTAGGAGGCCTTCTACAAGGCAGTAGCTGGATGCAGTTAACATCTGCCCAAGATGAGTGTTTTTATCGAGACACCATCTCTAGCCTTTACTCAACCAAGAGCCCTAAGGCAGGGGATGTTTAGCTGG